GCGGACACAATTATCTTTCACTTACAGGGAATGAAATTAAATGCATAGCATTCAGACGGAATCGAAATATCATATTATAAATAATGTTTAAATGTCCTAATATTGGAATAAATTCGAAAATAGCTTCAAGGAATTTCATTGAAATTCGTCGATCTTATAATTATAACCTTCGATCAACAAATCTTTAGATAACGGGCAGCGCGTAAAATCCGTTTCGGTATATATAGCCTCACTTGAGGCGTGATATCCTATTTTAAATTAGATCCGTTAATACAAAACAAAGTAACCTTGGCGCTGGCCAATAACTTTTAAAATAAATTGTAGGTCTTAAGGTTGATTTCACATATTCCTTTTTTCACCTTTATCGTTTTTCTCCAAATATCAGATATAATTTATGAAATAAACAAGAGTTCGTTTTATAAGTTATAAGGTCGTATGTGCGAAATAACATTTTGTTATTTGTAACCTTATTCGTTTGTGATATAGTTGTTATTAGGTTCAACTTAAACTGTTTCAAAACATTTATCTTTCTTAATTGAGAATCGAATGTAGCTGCGTAAGTTTAAATATGCGCGGACAGTTATTAGCTTTTAATTTTGTATGCAACCCGTTATCTATAGAATTAATGTTGATCGAGGATTATATCGTACAAAATCGAGTTAAAGAATTATTAAACTAAAAATATAATGAAATAAAACTTAATATGTATAAACACGCAGATGACGAAATATAAATAATAAAATTATTATACATACAGTGAACATGATTTTTCCCCCATTCTAAATATTATTTAAATACTGAGCTTTTTACTACTGTGTACACTCAACAAATCATTATTCTTGCATGCTTTAAATTGTTCAATTACAAGATATTGTCGTATTACATCATATTAGAACATATTTTAGCCTTACCACAAAACACATTTTAATAGACAGGTAGACTAATTAAATGACCTCTTTATTTTTTATTATCATAGATATAAAAGTTACAACATTGTTTTAAACTTCCTAACATTTATACCAGTTTGCAGTAACTCTATTTATATTTAAACGTTGGAAAATATTATGTTATACCGTGAGTTGAGCTATATGATGCCTGGTACTTCGCATGGCTATGTGTTTTGGTTATTTGTAAGTTTGATAGCAGTACCTCCTTTTCATTCCATTTATGAGCATGATAAGGGTATACTGCTGTTAATATTACAAATAGCAAATACGAATAGTTATGTAATGCTGGCACTGCATATGGCTATTTGTATTTGCCGATTGACAACAGGTTGGTCTTATCATACTCTATCTATGGGGAGTGAAAAAGAGAAACCGTTGTCGAGTTCACAAATAGCAAATTCGAATAACATAATATATGAAGTGCAGACATAGTGTTAGCGTATGCAAAACACTAATTAAATACGCAGTGGCGCAACTCCATAGAAACATGGCAAACAGAATGTGTTTCTTATGTTTGTATGGAGCTAAATTTAGACAAAGATGGTGTGTAAAATTAACTGGCCGTTCTTATAAAATAAAAATGTTGAACATTTTTAAAGGAATCAAAGAGTATTTAAATCTCTTTTGTCTTTATAAATTGAACAGCAGCGCAATCTAGCCGAAATGCAACTATTTAACATATGATAGACAAAATGAGACATTAAAATCTTCGTTAATTCCAACACTCAGACACACAAGGCCCCGTGTATATCCCTTACTCCCTTATCAGTTTACGAATTAATATTATTTATACATATCGCAATCACTTCCTACTGCAATAACACTTACATTATAAAACGTAGTACATTTAACCCTATTTTGACACTACTACGTAATAATTACACGGGGCACATTCGGAATTGATCACAATTGTGTAATATGTAGCTTTTATAGACAGCTAAGTAGCAAAATTGAGCATTTGCCTTGAAAATTAAAAGATTTTGAGCGAATCATAACTAATGAAAAGATAGTTCTAAAAGTCGATACTTTAATGCCAATCAGATACGAACTCATTGTAATCAATTCAAAATGCCCCTTTACAAGATTAATTTAAATTGAAGCGGGTATAAAAAATATTCTATCGTATATCAACATTAATTATTATAATCAACAACTACAGAACCTACAAATTGTTCTGAAGGTACTTAAGGTATCATTGAGGTGTACAAACAAAAACGTGTTTACGGGACAATTTCATTGTGCTCATAAAATAATACACGGTGCAAATTGGTATACACACCGACACGATATAGCTGACGATTTATATCGTTTCTACAATCCGTATAAGCATAAAAAAATCGCTTATATATTGCAGTTGTGTGGATATTTATTATAAGGGATGAATATAGCTACGACTGAGAGGTAGCTTACAAATTGAGTGTGTAAACTTTACTTGCTATTTATTATCAGTTAAATTACTATTTACGATATCGACTCGGGAAATCAAGGGAGAGTGGTATATTTCTAGCTTTTACTATGATTTCTTTTAGTTGACTATTTTTTGGGATCACAACACTGCTTGAACCAGTGTGAATGTGCCATATATTTTCTCATTGTGAAAGTAAGCTCATTAAAGTATTTAATTAATCAAATTAATATATATCTTTTATTTTACGTTATAAAATTAACAACTCAAATACATGTGATGTATTCATGTAAATATAATAATAATATTACACAAATTAAAATACATTTCTATTGATACTTAATCGGGTTCTACTTTAAATGGATCAAAATTTTTGTATCAACAAATATATATCATGCATGATAAAGTAATTAAATATATATTTAAGTGGAAGTTGGTAAAACGATTAGTATCCGCCAATGTTAATATCACAATACAATAAGTATTAGTGGCCGTACAAGCATATTTATGCATGAGAAAAAGGATTATACAAGAGGTATAAAAAGCAATAGAAAGCTGATAAAATGACGTGAAGTATGAAATTTTATAACTGTAAAAAATAATATCGTCTCATTTACGTTTTTTGGACGTTATTAATTAATATCTAAAGTTTCATCACTAACGATCGTAATGAGAGAAGTCAAATAATCATGTTATTTAAAGTCACGTGGTCGTAGTCAATTGCTATAGCAAAGAAAGTAACAGCAACAACTTTCATCAAACAAGCGTATACCGTTGTAGAAAAGGCACACTCTCGTCTCGTCTGAGAAGAGAACCGCTCTCTATTGGTCAAGGATCAAATTGACGTGACTCTACAGCATCTGCAGAAAACCGATCCTAGAGATGTCGATACGATTTGTGGTATCAAGCTATTTTTTTTAATGAAATGGGTATTTTTAAGTTAATTTAATGGGCTTTTAAATGACACCAATATAATGGTAGGGGTAAATGCGTGTGTTAAGGGTTATAATAACGCTTGAAAGTTATTTTCGCGTATGTGCGATTTTTTAGACGCCGAGTGTATTTATTCTCATTGGATGCATAATACAACTCTTTTGAATTGAAATTATTTGAAGGATATTGCAAGTTCATAGTATTTTCGATACACAAATTGCCATTTAATCACCTGCCCCATTGCTTTGTACACCTGTATTAAGAAGTTTCTTTGTTTTATAGATGCAACTAATATGGCATAGGAATGGTGAAGAATATATTGTGAAAAGAAATATAGGAATGATATGGTAGCATACTATAATGGCATTCGAGACGTCAATCAAATTTAACGATTGTCAAAGTGGAGTGTAACCTTAATATATCTCTATCGTAGTGAAAGAGAAGGCACCAACTCTAATTGAACTTAAAAAATAATTGGCGTCTTTAATTGCAGCCGCGTATATCCATTTTTCTTTGTATTTCCTATATTAGTATTAAGATCTTGTCTGTGATTGCAATTTAACCTGTATCCTATGTAATTTATATCTTTGAACCTTAACTACTATAAGGTTGAAAATCGATTGGAGAAGACAGTTTTGTATAGCTTGAATATCTCCTATTTGCCCATGACGCAAACTAACGAAGGTTTAGTCTAACTCTAACACATAACCAGCTTTTAATAAACTGCTGTAGATTACACTCAGAAAAATTCATTACATTCTCATTAAATGCTCGTTAAAGTGATTTGTTGTTTATATTTATTTTATTACAAATCTGTTTGTTTTCACCTTAAGTTGTAAACAAGTTTGTATACTACAAAAACAAGTCGTTACATCTAAAAAATGATAAGTCGACATATATGGGTATTCTAATATATATTTCTTATATATTAGAGTGATTCCAATTCAATGACGTTCATACAATAATATCATAACAACATGATATACGTTCATGATATGCGAATCTGTACATCGTACGAGCAAGGGCTTCGAGCGAAAATCCGCTCTAAATCAATAGGTGTTAAGTATCAAAATAGTAAAAAATTTCGACTCGTATAAAAGCCCACTCTTTTAAATAACATACTTAATATAGGGGTCGGTGCGAAGGCAACGTTTAACTAAAAATTAGAATCCTATAAACTCACGAAATCATTTAGCGCAGAGCTATTAATACTAAATATAGGACATGATAAATGTAGTGAAACAATTTATGGCTTGGAATTCTAATATGATTTACGGATTACTCACCTAACTTCAATATTTTAATATTTATAGTTTATGACGTGGCGTTCCTATTGTTTATGAAAGCTATACTGATTTTGCATGAACTATGGTCAAACAAAAGTAAAGAAACTTTCTTATGTAGTACAAAAATTCTTAGAAGCAGCTTCCCAAGACTGTTTGTAGGCAAAAATCGGGATTATTCCTTTCACACCAAATTGTGTTAATAAAGGTTTCAAAACAAATAAAATATGCAACAATATAATTTAATAATTACACCGTACTCCATGGACAAATAGAAAAGCAATTAAACGATTTGAAATGCTATAAATTTTCCTAATGAAGTCATAGACTACAGCAAATCAATGAAGTTAGGCATAAAATTCCCAAGTGTTTTCTTAGAACAAAGCATAATTTTTGCTCTCGTACTAAGGTATGATGAATGAAGAAATTAGAATTAATTTGATGAAAAACTAAAGGGGGTAATTATCAAATTATGGTAATTACAAAACGCTGTTATCGCACTCAACCATTCTGGCAAACGTCTGCCAACGCCCAATATCATTGGAGGAAGTCTTGATCAGCGAATGAGGGTCGGACATTATTGTTGAAGTTAGCGAAGTTATTGTTGGGGTAAAATGGTTGGTTTAAGGGGAGGGGTCGTTGGGCAGGGGAGGATGGGGAGGATTTGAGCTGGTTGATGGTGGGCGCGGGGCCAGATTTAGGGGACCGTGGGGCTAACAGGTTGTCGACGTCGATGTTGACGGCGGCAGACTCCACTGCCCAAGTGGCGCCAAGTTTGGGCGCCGGTTTGGGTGGCACCACTTTCGCTACGGGCGATATGGGGCGCGGTCCTGAGATTTTAGTAATTGTGAGATTCGTATATATGATAGTGCGACAAGGATCTTTATGAGGGTGACGAAAATTGGAACGAACGCCGCCTTCTTTGTAAACCACATATTTTGTATAGCATTTACGTAGACGGCAGCGTGCTCAATGAACTGTCACTTACGTTCATAAAGATCCTTGTTGAACTGTAGGTATACATAATGGACCACAGAGCATACCTATTAGAGACCGCATTACTAAATTTTTGTTTGAAATCGAAAACGCGAAATTTGGAGACATGTCACAAGCATATGTAGTAACACTACCTAGGCGTGATGCAAGCAGGTGCCCTTGTATTCGGTTTCTAGTGTGGGTGCTCTGTGGAATGAACTGTAATGCCATTCTTAAAGAACAAACTCACTTTTTTAAAGCGAAATTTAATATTGTGATTTGAAATTTGTGTTCTAATTTAAGATCACACAGCGGATTCCAAAGTGAAAAGTGAGTTTTTTATCTTACACAAAGCACTGTTTAGCATTCTTTCTGTAAGTAGTACACAACGTTCGACGTGTGTACAGATTGGCTATTACTTGGAATAGATATTGACTGCACTGTAACGATGGAAAAGGAGTTATGCAGTTCATGAGCATGTCGCTAAGTTCATTTTCTTCAGTATCAGGCTGGGATCGAACCAGCGTCTTAAGAAACGTCGTCTTTTAGTACCACGAATTAGACGTTGACTTTTATAAAACTTAACACGCAAATATTATCGACAGAAATTAAGCGCATACATATCTATATACATAGTAGTATACTGTTAAACACATGTGACTGTCGCTAGCACATTACTGTCAGTAGGGAGTGACAAGAATAAATGAAACCGCCGATTGTTGGGAGGCTATTCTATTCGCCGAGGGCTAATTAATTAATCATCTGATAAAATTTATAGTCTGACCAGAGAAATAAAAAGATAACCTAATTAAAAGTGTACTGACAATAAGGTTCCTTCCTAAAATTTTCTGGTTGGGCAATATAATATACACCCGCCTACGAAGTATGAGCACCGCGATATGATATCATTAAGCTTTTTATTGACACTCAACTGTCACAAAAATCACTTCATCACATTGCGTTTTGATGGTCAGTGACATCATTTATATTACAACATAAAAAAACGACAAATTAGCATTATTAGCTTTTGCGGAGGGCATTACTTTTGATATAAAAATAATTTAAAAGAAAAGCTTACTAGAAAAAAATCCACGCGGACCAGGGAGCAGACGGAACTCGAACCCACACCCTTCGCTATCCGGGCGAATGCACTGATCATTATGCTACCGGGGCCCTGACAGCCGTGTCGAATTTTCTCTAGCCTTAGGCTGAAAGGCAGCGCCATCTCTTCGGATTGTAAGTAACCCACAATGTCAAATGAAATACCTTTACAAGTATTAAACATTTGAAAGAAGAAATAAATAGCAATTATAGTTATTTTTTTATTTTGTAAGCATTTAGCTGCTAGACGTTTAAATGTATGAGAGATGGCGCTGACTTACAGCATAAGGCTAGAGAAAATTCGACACGGCCGTCAGGGCCGGGTAGCATAATGGTCAGTGCATTCGACCGGATAGCAAAGGGTGCGGGTTCGAGTCCCATCTGCTGCCTGTTCCGCGTGGATTTTTTTCTAGTAAACTTTTCTTTAGATTTAAACAGCTAACAGTTAAATGCTTAAAAGTTAAAAACATAACTGTAAAAATAATTTACCAGACAAGTAAGCTTTACCCAGAAATACAAAACTTAGCTATTGCTTTTCTTTTTATTATCAGCAAAATATAATGTAACCTCCCAAAATCGGCCTCGCAAAAACTGAATATTGTGATAAACTTTATTGTAACGGTGGGGTAATTTCATTACACAATCAAGCAAAATATCACTTTAGCTTACAAGCAAAATATCACTTTAGCTTACAAGTAAAAACCACATTTGCTTTCACGAAAATAGGTTAATTTGAAAATGGTTCACTCATTCTGATTCAGCTAACATTTTCTCTATGAGATACAACACTTGGACGCCTAGGACGGCGGCTTCTGACTTCGGTCCACCGAATTTCAAAGTTAGTTCGACGTCACTCACACAGTCGCTCAACCAAGATCTAAATTCCATCATCACGTTAAAAAACTCCGTCTTTAGTATAGATGGCGGTAAAGTCACCACTACAGAAGCCAACAGAGATATCACCGCCGTTTTTATCTTTGGATCCGGAGAATACCTCATATAAGATATGATCTGCAGGATCTCCCAGCAATAAGTCGAGCATTTCGGACAATTCCTCGAAGCGAGAATCACGTTGCCGACTACACTTAGGTATTTTAACATTAATATACTGTCTACATCCTGTTTCATGTTGTGGTGACTTAATGCTAGCTGCCTACACCCAAAACCGGAGACTAGAGGGTAGAAAAAGTAGTCAGATATAGCAGCAAACCGGTTCCGTTTCGCATTAGCGAATGGATGCGGCCTCATAGAATGAAAATATCTCGTTTTGTTGATCAATCGTCGTCGTATTATCTCCTCTGATGGAAGTTTATCTTCTTCCACCACTCTAACATCCTTTTTAACCTTCTCTTCTTTGTAAGGCTTTAGCTCAGCGATACGATTAACAGCTTCCGATAAAGCGTCTAACATAAATATTTTTGCCGCTATAGAGTATCTTCCGACGTCCGTGTGAATCTCTTTGCACAAATATTCAGCGCATATCTTGGGCTGACAGCACACCATCGCAACGACAGTGTTAAATTTTATATCCTCAAACTTATCGACATGGTATTTTTCTTCTAAATGCACGAATAAACTGAGCAAGTCTTCGGTCAATTTCTGGTCCTCTGTCTTGAGTTGTTTATTCACTAGTTCTTCTGCTGCTTCTATGCACGCTTCGAAGGACTCTACGTCTTTAGCTTCGACTAACAGGTCCAATAGATCTCGTAGATAGTTCGGCCTACCTCTAGTAGATATGGATACGTCATTACTCATATCGTACGGTTGCAAATCGTCATCAGAATCCAACTCCTCAGTTTGGTACTTTCCCTTTTTCTCCAAGTCATCCAATTTGACAGATATAATTGATTTTACAATCGCTTTCGTGGTCTCGGGAGTTCTGACGGCGCATGTCACTATTGTGTTTTGAACAGGCGTCGTATACTCGTCTCGATCTACGCATTTGTTGGCGATTAAATCTAAAATCCCTTTTAGATCGACAGTTTTATCTTTATAATCGGGATTTACTTCTCTAGTGTCCTCTATAAGACATTTAGAAGCGATACCTTTTAAAATACTGTTGATATCTTTGCAGTTGTCAGGCATATCGCTGAAGTCGAAGTTCAAACTTTCCACCGCCTTTCTGTCAGACTTTTCGATGGCCGCTAAAGTTTTCAATATTATTTCGACAGTGGCCATTGCTATGCATCTCAACTCAGTCGCTACTATATTTAAATGTCTAGTCATGCCTTTGAAGAGCATGTTTTTGATTTCGATAACCTGCCAATCGAGTTTATCCCTTAATGCCATAGTAACACGATATTTCACACCGAGCACTAGTAATTGCGATATATACATGTGTTGTGGTGTATTCGATACGTTGCATAGTTTCACGTCAGACCAGACAGAGGTCAGTCTTAATATGAGATCTGCTAAGACATTAGCTCCTTTTTTCGATGTGGCAATGTAGTAGATCAGATTTTCAGCTATATTGGTGGTTTTATAATCTCTTGGTATCACGTAAAATGGTACTCTATGGGTGAGTATTTCATGCCAGTCTTTGTTTGAATCAGAACTGTCGCCTAATGTGTAACGGATGGCTTGCTCTTCGTTTTTATAATCTATTGGGCACCGGTTGAGCAGAATTACACATAAGTTGTCTATGGCCTGGCGGTTTAGATGGTGGAGTACGGTCTGTATGAGTTTTCTTCTAACGAACGTAGTAGGGGAATTATCGTATGTACTCCAACCTATTAGTGCGTCTACTAATTTCAATATGGCATCGGAACTGCCACTCATATTGTAATTCACGACAACTTTGGATAGTAAATGTGATAAGTAGTATAAATCGTACTGAACGCACGTGTAAAAACTGCTTTCGCTCATGAAATCTATTGTTCGCAGAATATGTAGAACGAGTTTATACGAGAAATTCTCATGGGAGAACTCTTTTGGAGTTTCTGTCTCCAGTTTGTTGGCAACTCTTTCGGGCAGTGTTACCAGTAGTTGTACGTAGCTCTCCCATTCGGTTTGATGTTGGTATTTCTGCATGTTTTCTTTTATTTCTACGCTGCTGCAGTCTGTAATCGCCACTAATATCGCGTCGCTCTTCATATAGTTTGCTAACGTGTAAGCTATTGCTTTGAATACGGATGAATCGTTACTGTTCTTAAGAAAACCACATAGCAGACCTAGTGTTTCATGGCTTAGTGCGAAACTTTCTTCTATAATAAACAGAGAAACAATTTCCACTGTCATCACAGGCCAATGTGGGAATACAGTTTTTACAACAGAACTTAGTAACTGCGAATAAACTTCGATTAATTTCTCATCAAATGTTCTCTCATCAATTTTTGTCAACTTCTGTACAGTTATCGGTCCAGGGAGGAGCATCTTGAGAACGTTGCAACATTTCCTGATGATTTTCATTTCATTATCAGATTTGATCTGTTCTATAGCTCGCAAACTCTCTAGAAAGTTCTCGATGGCCCGTTGGATATTGATCTGAGTAGATTGTTCCATCATTTCGGACCCTGGAAATGAAAAAAACCTGAATGTGCCCAAAACTGGATTGATTTACTAGCATGCAATCTTATTACACCACCATTACAATATTGTTTCACGTTGGGTTGCCTTCATCAAGTGTTATTCAACAATTTTTTATCATCTATCCTTTTCCATAGAATATATAATAAATTAAGTAACACAGAACTGTTTAATTTGGTCAATTGATTTTTAACCTAAATGGCATTTTTAGACCAGGGTCGATAATTTTAAAAATGGTGAAAAGTGAAAAAAAATATAGTAGGATGAAACCCATTAGAAAAGGTAGAGAATATAACAAAAGTTAAAGGAAAAATAAATTACGGGCGATCTGAGGTCGGGAAGGGGGAGGGGGTGAGTGTTTAAGGGTAAAAACCGGTTAATCTCGATTTCCGGGAAAACTGAAAGTCCTATGAAAAAAAGTTAAATGGCAAAGTTGTAGGTAATAAAAAGATCTCTTTAAATTTGAAGAAGAAAAGATCGAACTTTTGTATCGACACTTTTTTCACATAACCTCAAAATTTATGTGAAAAATTCGAATAACCGAGTTTTTGAATTTTTATTTTTATTTTTATTTTATGCAAAAAAAATATTTTTTTAACGAAATTTAGTGAACACTTACCTTTGTATGTCCCAAACATACAGCATTTTTTTTTTATTTAAAATATTAATTTTTTCACCTTATTTTGACTTAATATCGAAAAAGCACCTTAAAATTCTCACGTCAAAATAAAGGTAAGTTTTCACTAAGTTTCGTGAAAGATTTTTTTTTGCAAAAAATAAAAATAAAAATCTAAAAACTCGCTTATTCAAATTTTTCACATAGATTTTGAGGTTATGTGAAAAAAGTGTCAATACAAAAGTTGTACAACTTTTTATTACCTACAACTTTGCCATTTAACTTTTTTTCATAGGACTTGCAGTTTTACCGGAAATCGAGATTAACCGGTTTTTACCCTTAAAAACTCACCCCCTCCCCCTTCCCAACCTCAGATCGCCCGTAATTTATTTTTCCTTTTATTTTTGTTATATTCTCTATCTTTTCCAATGGGTTTCATCCTACTATAATTTTTTTTGGTCTCAAAAATTATCGACCCTGGTCTATTTTTTATATTCTTATATTAAACTTAAAGTATTACTTTGCTACATCCTCTCTCTCTCTCTCTATGCTATAGAAAAGGATAGAACAACGGTATAATGCCGAAGGTGTGGGGAGGGGGTTCTCGTAGTGACAGTCATATGTATTCACAGTAACTTAAGAAAAGGTAACATCTCAATGGAAAGAATTAACTACATTATGAATAAGTTTATAATTTAAAGTACCACTTTGTTACTTTATATAAAACTTCAAACTGAATAAACAATTGACAAACGATACTAGTGTTAAAATCCCATGTTATTCTTATTTAAAAAATAAAAAATCGTAACGGTCTAGTTTTCTAATATAGAAAATTCTTCCATCACTATTTATTGTGAACTCGCACCGTGAAATTATATTACATAAAAACATAAACAAACAAAAAATTGTAACTAATGCAACCTCAAATTCTTTTGTAGTTTGATAGTCAATGTCCATAACTAGTTTTATCATAATCGTGTTTAGTTGGTTTTGCTAGGGGAGGGCAGGAATAATAAAGCTTGCGAATGGTGAAAGAATTCTCAAAATTAGTTTAGTAGTTCTAGATATTACTTGGTATTTATAATAAAAACCCAGTAAATCGAAACGAGTTTATAAATACAAATCGCGACAATCCATTAAGTGAGGAGGCGACAATTCATTAATTGAGATGCTCGATAGCGCAGGTGGTTGGCGCATTCGGTTTGCGATCGTGAAATTGAAGCAACTTTTGCAATGGTCAGTAATTGGATGGGTGACCACAACCTTATTATCTCGAGCTCCTCCGTGCTTCGAAAGGCACGTTAAGCCGTTGGTCCAGGCTGCATCTGCAGTCGTTAGCACCCACCAATCCGCACTGGGCCCGGGTGGTAGGTCACAGCCTTATCTCTCCCTATTCCATCCATAGGGAAGGCCTGTGCCCCAGAAAAATCCTAAGAAGCCGCTTCCATAATTTGCTAGCCAAAAAATCACTTTAGGTAAATATGTATCCTGTTATCCGATCTTTACTAATAACTATAGTTCGGTACTGACCTAGTGGCTGAGTGGGTTGCAACGTGGGCTGCAGAGTAGTGGTGGCCATTTGTGACGTCAGCACGTCCAGAGGGGACACGGGTTGTATACCCGGCGGTGGTGGAGCGGTCAGATCGCTCAAGAGATCCAGGTTCGATGCCGGGATTGCTGGAGAGGTGACAATAATCATTATGGTTTAATACTTGAACAATAACAAGGGTAGATAGATACGATGATGGTGTCCTTTTCGATTACAATAAATGTTAATATAATAATAATAATTTTATTTGCATCATAAATATTTTTACAATTGTTATGTACATTTGGTTGCTATCCAATTATCACTAAAAGGAACTCTAGTTGCTGGAACACTAGCTACCTTACTAAGTTGACAAGACAACTTGTATTAAGGGAGCTAGGCTCAACACATGTATTGGCATTGGTATTGGCCGAAATTACAATTGATAGTTATGGCTTACAGAAATGATTGCTTCAGTAGAAAACAATGAAGTTTGAGTTAAATAAATCTAAGGAAAACAAAACTATTTTTTGCATGCATTTAGTAGTTTGTGTGTGTGTGTGTGTGTGTGTGTGAGTGTGTGAGTGTGTGAGTGTGTGTGTGTGTGTGTGTGTGTGTGTGTGTGTGTGTGTGTGTGTGTGTGAGTGTGTGTGTGTGTGTGTGAGTGTATGTGTGTGTGTGTGTGTGTGTGAGTGTGTGTGTGTGTGTGTGTGTGAGATCAAAAGTGGAGGGAAAGAATTGTGTCAAAAATCAAAATATACCTTGGAATTGTTATCTAAAAGGAATTGATATTTAATAAGTTTTCTGTATCATTGTATTTTTTTAGAAACCAGCACTTTGTTAAGTTTATTGTAGAGATGCGGTCCTTGAAAACAGGGTAATCTTCTGGTTACGGAGTATTTGCAAGGAATTAAGGACGACGCCAAAAAATTGAAAAGTTTTTTCAATTTTTTTGGCGTCGTCTTGTGGTGATTCTTTCATAATGTGTTTCCTGATGTTGATGTTGCACAACATTTAGCACAAACAATTGTCTAACCGTGAGGACCTGGCAGATATTGTACAGTTCTTTGTTGGAAATAAAAAGGGGCGAAAGGGACTGACTTTTAATACAGCTTCCTGAGCGTGTTCTAATTTCAAAATAGCTGTTTTGGGAGCTCCACCCCAGGCACATATACAGTAAGTGATGAGAGACTGACAGAGAGAAATGTAAGTACGCCTAATAGGTTGACCGTCGGCTACGTATCAAAGAGTTTAAAAAACATTTATGTATAAGCTTCCTTATTCTATTAGTCTGTATGTCGATATGTGGTCGCAAAGGTTTATCCATCGTCGGGTTTTACGCAGGCTATAGGTGAGCACTTTGATTTTATTAGTGTTCAAAGTGAGAGAGTGCATGTTGAGCCATTGTGTCACAATATTCAAACTTCTGTGTTGTATCGAAGGTTTCAAGAAAAGTGTCACCAGAAAATGTAATAACCGTATCGTCAGCAAATGCAGTGATTTGCCCATTGTCAGTTTTACATTACATTCATATACGCAAGAAAGAGAGTAGGACCAATCACACTTCCCTGCGGGAGACCGAAAGTTACTGGCAGTTCGCTACTTTGATAAATTTGTATTTTGATGCATGGAGTTCGATTGTGGAGATAGCCGTTGAAAATATTAAGTGCATGATCACGAATTCCAAGTTTTTCTATATATAGATACCAATTTAGCAATAGAGACAGTATCGAACGCTTTTTTCAAATCTAATAAGATTAATAGAATCTTTCTTTTCTTCTTTACTTTTAACTGCGATGTGGTCGATTAGGTCGATCATTGCATTGTTTGTCGATTTGTTACGTCTAAAACTGAACTGATTTGGAGAGAGATGTTTTTTTATCTTCCAGATATTTGAGGAGTCTTTTGTTGATTAGGTGTTCTAGAATTAGAAATGCAAGCTATGGGACGATAATTAATAAAGTTTTGTCACCAGACTTGTATACCGGATGAATAATCGAATCTTAAAGTATTGAGGGGAAAATGCCTGAACTAAGACAGAGATTGAAGATATGTGTTAGAAGTGTCTGTGTGACAAGTATCTGTTTGTAGCGTTTGAGAAGCTTGGTAGATTTATTGAATCTCCAATCTCCGTTTCATCGGTTCAATGACTGGTCATTACCAAGAGCTGAAATATCGTCATAGAGTTTGTGATTTTCAGGGGGATGTATAATTTGCTCAGCTAGCGATCTACCTATAGTGACAAAAAATTCATTCGCCATATCTACTGACGTTTAGGGTGAGATTGAGGACGCGAGTAATTTATTATTTGGAATGTTAGGTTTGTTACACTTAATAACTTTTCTCATGTTTTTGTTGTCATGTGAAGCCTCTTTCAGTTCTTTCCTATCATCATTTCTTTTATAATTACATATCTCTTATCTATTAGACAAGTCCGTCCGGCCGTCCGTCTGTCTGTGGTGCTGTTTCAGCGGCCAAACCGTAAGAGATAGATAAAGAGAATGTTTAAGTTATAAGTTAAGAATAGTCTGATAAGACTACAAACCGGATTTGAGTAACGTAGCACTTCCGGTTTTCGAGAAATCACGAATTACAAACGAAACCACACAAAATCTCCGAAGTTCTCAATTAATTAAATACATTTTTTTTTAAATCATGTTTTGGTGAACATTTGGTTCACTGGTTTGCTAGTCTTTTATAATATATAAGTAATCGTTAGAATAGTTTTGTTAGGGGATTGCTTAAGTTTTTGATGTGTAACATCTTTCTTCTCGATTTCGTGCAATTTGTGGGAGTGATTACGTGAAATGGGCGGAAGTGTGTAACAGGAAGTTTGGGAAGCGCGCGCTATTTTAATTTGATTTTAGAAAATAATGTTCAAATGGCTTACTCCTTTTGTAGTAGATTTTATTTCTTTTTTTACAAATATAAGGTGAGGTTTCAACTGTCATACGCGACTACTGTAAGGCTCGCTCGTTTTTTTTATGCATAGCATCTCTATTACGCATACAGCGGAGCATGCCAATCATCATCCATGGCTTGAGTAAACGTTTGCTATTGGGAAATTTAATCAAACAAGTATTGTTTTTTATTAACGTACTAAAAGTGGATTAAGAACTCTACTGATTTATTAGCATCGGCAAGTTGGTAAATCGACTGAAAATCTGTGTTTATCATATCACAGCCCAAAGTTTTATAATTAATTTTGGAGATAGTGCTTGTACAATAGCAATATGGGGTTATGATCGGTAACAAAGGAGTCAATTACTATGGTGAGTGCTGATATATTAGTTTTGATTAGTACATGATCGAGGCAGGCTTCTCTCGAGTAGAGAGAGTATGAGCTGGAAGCATACCATGTGAGGCTTATAGGTCCAGATAATCTGCAATTTCTTTAGAAGATATGTCGCAGCAAATATCCAGGTTGATGTGTCTCCGACAATAGCTATACTTTCAAATGTGGTTAGGGTCAACAAAAGAGCGTCAAGTGAGCTTAAAAATATGTTTTGTCATTGAAAGATGTGGGTCGATAAATACATATTATTGACTTATCAGTGCCTATTTTTATTACCAGACAACAACAGCATCAGAAAAATCTGATTCTTCTACTGTATATTTTCCAATTTTTTAGTATAAATCACTATGCCATCGTTTTGATTACAAAAATTTTTAGTTAGACGACAGGAGAATAGTTACAAATGTGGGGGGTTGCATCTTTACATCGCATTAACCTGCACTTAGTCAGTACGATTATTTCACAGTCGAGGTTTATTCTGCAAAGCAAAGTTAAGAAAGAATCAATGTTTGCATTTATATAGCGAATATTTTGGGTAATTATCTTTAACTGCCTCGATGGGTTTATGATATATTTGGACATCGGGCTGACAATTTAGTGTAGTAGAAACAGTGAGCTGATCAGTATTTGCTAATTCTGTAATATTATCCACGGTAAGAAATCTGATATGGGTCTTCTAAATTGCGGCGGCGGCGTCGCTACTAAAGTACCTATAGTATGTTACATCTAGACTTAGGTTCTCTATGTAAAGACTTATGCAGTTGAGGCATATCTTCCTGTATAAAATATGTTTAAGTAAGGTTGTTGATGTTGTTAATCCTCTGCAACGGCTATGCGCTCCTGATACTGCGTAAACTTTTTCCACTGAACTTAACTGGTTTTAATTATTTATTTAAAATATTTGTATTTATTTGGCACGGAAGGTACGTCCACACGCTATCGCGGTCCAAGGGGAAGGAAATGCTCTAAAGAAGATAATTGCATGCAGACTTAATTTGTATTCTTCTCAACTGTCCCTTTTATTTGATACCAGTATCATGAGAGTGTAATTTTTTTTTGTCCTTGGTATGATACAATTATCAAACAGAACGTCTTCTAAAAAATATTATGTAAACATAATCCGTGCGTAAAACGAACTTCATGATCTGTGGGTCCAACCACTTTCGTTTCTTTCTTGAATTTACTGCCAACAGCGAGTACCATGTCAGTGTGATAAATAAATTTAAATTCACGAAAGTTTTTTTTTATGTCTATAACATAACTGACAATACGTACGTAATAGACAATGTCCAACTCACCTGGCGCACTTAAGTTTGTGTTAAGTTGCGTCTGGGTGCTGCTGAATGCGGCAGAAAAGTCGGCGAATTCTGCCGCCGGGGCAGATATAGGAGTCGGCGGTGGCGGGGAGAATGCCGCCGCGAATTCACCAAAATCTGACGCTTCCTTGCCGATAGTTTCTTCTTCCGCTCTGAAATATTTGATTCATATTACGTGTTTGTCAGTTAGTCCAGTCAATGCACGGAAAAAAAGGGAAAAACCTGGCAAAAGGCTATTTGACAGTATGATAAATAGTGTAAGAATTGTTGGCATCTGTATTTAAAATGAATTTTGCCGATTTTACTATTCTGATAGAACAAATGGTTAATAACTATTCTATAAAATCATTAAATAAAAAAGATTTTTTTTGGCTTAAGGTCAAGTGACCGAAAACGCCTAGGAGTGGCCAAGACTAAAATGACGTCACACACTTGTATACTACCGGCCAAGGTGACATTACATTGTATTGTTTGACGTTTTAATGACAGTCGTGTGACGTCATACACTTGTGAGACTTCATAATGTCCAGAAAAAGTCCTTTTAATTTAGTTTTTTCAATTGAATTACACAACAAAACACACAAAACTTGTCAAATACCCTATTTTGCCAAACATCCCCAGTTAACACCATAATTTGGATTTAGTTTCTAGGTACTTAATTTAAGATTTTCATACAAAACCCGTCTCAAAACGTGTTTTTTTTTTGTTGTAAAATTGAATTTTTACATTCTCGAATAAGTTAACAAGTCACGACTTTCAGTAAAAAGTTTATAGAACAAAAGTTGCTTAGGATTAGTCAATATATCCATATCCATACTTATTTATACTAAAAAAAATCACCCCCGAGAATGAGGGCATATCCACCCCTAGGGAAATAGCAACCCTCGGCACATTAACAAATTTGAAGCAGAGGGTAAGTAGAACCTACATCCACATTTTGGTGCTACTCAGTGCTGTTTGGTAGAATTGCTTATTTATTTATTTATTAAGACAGCTAAACTTCTCGGTTTGCTGTCACTGGCTGGATAATATCATCGTTATTATTCTCGTACGAAATTATTTGATATTTTGTTTGCTTTTAAACATACCTTGGATCGAAGTCGTCCTCCAGCGGCAGATTAGACGGCGTAGGAGCACAAGTTTTGAACAAATCATCCAGCAATTCTTGGCTATTGTTATTATTGTTGTTGCTCGGAATTGCTGTGGATGTTGCTGTTGCGGATTTACCGTACGAGGCGGCAGCACCTGACGACCAAGAAAATTTTTTACGACCACACCCAGATAAGTCCATAAACAATCCATAATTAAGAGTAGGGCATGGCGGAATTTCCACTCGAATTGGAGCGCCAGCCTGGGGAAGTCACCTCCACCTTACAGAAGACCACAGTAAAATAACACTACCTTTTGGTGGTGTTGTGTTTCTATCGGTGAGTAAGGTTCCTGGGCTCCAGGGTTATTGGGTCAGGGTAGGCAACGGCGCCAGGGATTTTTTTTTATTGCAAGCGTTCATAGGCTATGGTGGCCGCTTACAATCCAGGCGATCAACAGGCTTGTTTGCCACCCCTTTAATATAAAAATAAACTCAAAAGTCGCACAGACTAGAAGTCAATTAATTAAATTGTCACTTTCATTGCGATAGTTAATAGAACGAGACAACGAGACTTAATAGACGCGCTTTATTAATTTGACATTTCTAAGAACGGCCGTGCAAAGTGCAAATGTAAAGTTACTGTATATATTTAAATATTAGTGTGTTTTGTTTGTATGTATTATATTTTTTTATAGTATGTATTTATATATGTATCTATGTTAATTTGTATATATATTCGTATTTAGCTTTATACCGCCGTTCGTGTTTTTCATTTTTCCCAAAGGTTGACTGGGAGAGAATGCTTTTAGCATTAAGTCCGCCTTTTGCACCAATGTTATATATTTATATTTTGGTCAATAAAGTATACAAATAAATAAATAAATATTGTAAAGTATAATTAAAGCAACTTTACATTGCTGTAGATTTGATCTGTATGACTTAATTTATTATGAAATAGAAACAAAATATATTTTTATTAAGGCTCTTGAACAGATGTTGAGAGTCCTTGTAGTTGGAGCCAAAGTCTGGGGCGGGGAGGACTGCTCGTCTCCGAGCGAGATTTAACCAATGGCGAGATTAAGTGCCCGAAATATCTTATCTAGTTTTGTCCGGTGCTGCTAGTTTGGTTTGTCTGTTTTTTCTACCTTTGCTGTGAAAGATTGCTTACTCAGGTCGATTTTCTTGACGGGCGTAGTAGGCTTGTACTGGGCGGAACTCTTGAGCGATATGTTGAGAGTCCTTGTAGCAGGGGCTGCAGTTACAGGCGATCTACAACGGGGAGGACTGCTCGACTCCGAGCATAATTTAGCCAATATCCTAAGTATGTGGCCAAATAACTTGTCTTTTTTTATTTCGGTGCTGCTAGTTTGGCTTGTCTGTTGTTTTTGCTTCTGCTTATATGCTGTAAAAGATTGCTTACCCAGGTCAATTTTCTTGACGGGCGTAGTAGGCTTGTGCTTGGCGGGACTTTTGAGCGATATGTTGAGCGTCCTTGTAGTAGGGGCTGCGGTTACAGGCGATCTAGGGCGGGGAGGGCTGCTCGACTCAGAGTCTCGGTATACGTTTTCTCTGTAACAACGGGAAATGGTAATAAAATTGAATATAGGAATATATATATTAAAGCCTCAACCAGAAAATGTTTAAATTCTATATTCTCTGATTAGGTTTTTAGTTTTAACTTTCACTTAATTTTTTTAGTTAGAGTTTAACCTATATGTGCTATATTTATCCTTTAGTATATATCCTTAGTAGTTAGGTAGTTTTAGAAATGCATGTTGTGCTTGCATCTAGTAGGTTGCAAAGTAGTTGATGTTTTTTTTTGTATGCATATATTTATATGGATATTCTTTGTAACCAGTTTGGTAAGCCAAATAAAAAAAAAAAAAAAAGAATATAGAACTAGACTTCATTATAATAAAAACCGCTACAAACTTTAAATTCTACCGCCTATGTATTGTCACGTCAACCAATATATCCTGTCTGTTGTGATGTGATGACTGAATTTATCCACCTACTTACTACTAATATTATAAATGTGAAAGTTTTACTCTTTCACGTAAAACGCCTGAAGTAATTTGGATGAAATTGCATACGCATGTAGTTTATGACTTGGACTAACCCATTGGATACTTTTTATCCCGGAAAAAACATTACTCACTTGCTGGGCTTACTGCACCTGTGACCGTACTCTCCGTCAGAATCGGCCCTTTCATAATCATCATCGTCATGTCTCGTATCTTTGGGCTCATCTGCAATATTTAAAATAATTATGATAGAGAACACTATGTCTAAAGATCTTAGGCCCACCTTCACCAAATTTGCTAATCATGATTTCTAAAAAGCCAAAACGTCAATGTCACATTATTGTATGGGTTTTATTTTCTTTTTTAGTAAAAGGCTGCAAGTGGGCCTCAGAGACGTTAGTTTAAATTAAAATTTAAAGAGTGATGTGTTGTTTCATTCTATGGCTGAGATAAAGAAAGTGACAGTGCAAGTTTTATTAAATAGTTAACAAATCGGAAAGTGAATATATAATGAAAACTTGGAGACTTTAATGAAGAAACGGAAAATCGAACGGTTGTGTGAAACTGTGGAATATTTAATTAATGAAATAAAGTTGTACGTACATGTGGGAATGATAATATGGAGATATAAACGAGTGAAAGAAGGAAAGATATAAATACAATCGACTTTATTTTGCAGGAATGTGGTGACTATACATTATCAAGATTTTACATCAAATCACGGTGACAATTGTAGTGCAAAGTTAACGTAAAAGCCGTGTCTCAATATGTATAGTTTTTGACACAGTTCTTGTTATAAAAACATAAGATAACAATAACAAGTAAGCAAATCTTGTGATTTTATTAACAATACCTATGTCAAAAATAAAATCTACTGAAACACCATTAATACACGATTATTACTTTAGCTTAGCAGATCAACAGCCAAATGAGCAGGACCACTCAGTTCAGGTATGCAAAACGTAATTAGAAGGAGGAAATACTATGACGCCCTAAAGGTAACCTACACTACGACAAGGTTCTTTATGAATGTGAGTGACAGTTCAAGATGAGCGCCACTAGCTACGTAAATTACCGTAAATGATATACAAAATATGGCAATAGACGGCGCCGTTAGTTCCAATTTTCGCCACATTCATAAAGATCCTCGTCGCACGATATTGTATAATGTAATGAATATATGAACGAGTGTAATAAGTGAGTGAGTGTATGATCATACCCCAGTTGGCGGCGCGGTCGCTGTACTCGCCCCAGCCGCCCGAGCCACGCACACCCATCACGGCCGCGTCCGACGACATACCTGCGTTACGATAATGTAGTCTTTGAAACATTTCTTTAAAAAAAATGCATTTACGGAGGTTGTATACATTGTACAACTTCCGTTACGAAAAGTGTGTTCGGGCGAGGCGAACGGGAGATGCATGTATTATCTGACATTCAAGTATTTTATTCTATCTTATATAATATTATAAATGCTTAAGTGAGTTTGACTGACATACTGTGATGTGTCAATTACAAAACCAACTACACTATACTATTTATAATACAAGTACATTATAAGATCATAATAACTTAACATAGGTAAAAATTCGCAAGGCAAGAGAGGCAACTATTCACGATTTCGCATAAAAACTTAAATTTACAAAGTAAAGCAATTCAACACGAAAAGATATCGAAGCAGACATATCAACCCGGAAACGAATCGTCAACGTATCAACTCCAACCGCCTTGGGACAAGTTCGTGTTTCTTCGTGAGGCGATTACGCAACGATTACGATCAGTGCGCGTAGGGAGAGGGTGCAATAGGGAGTTTCATACAAAGAATACTGAACAGCTTGAGCTGATAGTGTCGATCCCTTTCCGAGATTTTGATATGCCTGCTAGGACCATAGTGTTAATTCATTTATCAGTATGTGTACGACCTGCGTATGAGTAGTATGCATTAGTGTTTGCGAAAAATATGTATGATTATGGCTGTATTAACGTTAAAATGTTCGATGTGCAATATGTATAGTGATTTGTGAGGTGTTAGCTTATATCCAAAATAAGTTTGAAGTTATGGTCGTGGAAAGTCTTATAAGACTTTGTAGTACGGGATTTTCATCCGAAGCGCTCGAGAAAGCAAATACCCTACTGTTCGAGTCAATGCATAACTCATCAAAACCTGTAAAAGAAGAGGCGGAAAAATGGAAAAAAATCAGAAAGATCTAGAGGATATAATTGCTGGTTTTCAGTGTACTGACCGGGAGCTACTTCCCATTTTTGTAACTAAGGAATTGCAACGGCTGCCCCCAGTCACTTTTGATCATATAGACTGCACCAGGATATTAAAAGATATAATACAGTAGCAACAACGATATTAAAAATACCCTAGATAGACCACCAGCGCTCAAAATATGTCCGAAGCAAGAAGTGCTTGGACGACACCCAAGCACTTCTTCGTTCAGTCTTCGTTAAAAGTGCTCCGTGAAAAAATGCAAAAACAACACATTATTTACACGGAGTCTTATTTTCGGTAATTACCGAACCTATGTTTGTTAATTCAACGCATTTGTAGTTAATATCGTTTTAAATCCTACTAAAATTACTTAAATAAACAAATAATTTCAATAATCAAATGCGTACCCAGTAACGCAGTTGTCTCTTTCTCTATAATATAATATATAAATATTTAATTCTTTAATTTGATTCATTTTGACAATAAATGACAACCATGTATCGGTAACAAATACACAAAAATATTAATTTACTTAATTAGTAACAATGGCTGTTTTTTGGTCCTTTGCCTAAAAAAAGCGTTGATGCTCGCGCACCGGTAATCTGTGAAAAAAATATTTCTTTTTCTTTTCGCTGTATTGTTTTTATTTGAAAATATTGTCAAGTAGTAACGAATTTATTAATTTGACACCGCCAGAAGTCGAGAAAGGCTAAGCTAAGCCTCTTGCCCGAAAAGTACACGGATTAGATACTTACAGTCCAGCGTATCAAAATTACATCTTATGGAAAACAAACAAAGGTGCGAATTCATTTTCAGACAGTACGTACGTAGGTAGTATTATTTCCTCGCAAATGTGTTATAAATGTCGTATGACATACGTGCGATTGATAATTACAGTCTCTGCCTTCTTATAGCCCTCACCTACGGTTCGGGCTAACAATCTCGCCACGGCTGTAATTCTCAACTTACCGCACTTATATCATAATGTACTATTACAGGGTTCGTGGGTAAAATAAAAACCAACAATTATATTCTAAATTGTAAGAACTTTTTTTCTTACGGCAACTGTCAACTTATTTATTTTGGTCTCGTTTCCACCACGGTCCTGGAAATTAGAAAAAATACAGTTGCCATTCTTCTTTGTGTTATTACAATTCAGAATAACACATCTTACTAGGACAATATTAAATTTATCTCAAAAACGATTATATAGAAAATGTTTACTGCAATATGGATTTGACAGCTCTAGTCAGCGGCAAAAATCTCAATTTCAGCCGTAGCGAGCGCTGTGATCATTTAGGCTACTCCCTCCACCCGCTTTGCACCCTGCCATTTGCAGGAGTGGTAAGAAGGGTGAATGGAGACAAAATGTAGCTACTGAGTCATGGATATCAGTGCAGAAACGGAGATTTCGTAATATCTTTATAGGAAATAACAGCAAAGCAGCTATTGTTCCCGAGAGTAAATTCAAAGCTGCCGATATTAAGATACCTTTTTAAGGTTCCGTACCACAAAAGGAAAAAAAGGAATCCTTATAGGATCACTTTGTTGTCCGTCCGTTTTTCACAGGAACGCGTGGTGGTATCAAACTGAAATTCATATCTATACTTAGGTCTTCTGTCTCTTGGAGCTGTGAAAAAATCAAACTTCTAAGCCAAATCCATCAAAAGATATGCCGTTATGCCTCAAATTCCTGCAAATTTTCGAAACTCGCACGGGATTCAAAACGTACAGGATACTTGCCTAGAACTTAGAATTTTGATATTTGGTAAGAAGTAACGTCTTAGAGTACAGATAAAGGATTAATATTAAAAATTGCGAAAACCGTAAATTTTTAGTTAGATCATATATTAAAAAATATTTTTGAAAATCAGGCTTGTATGGAACCCTCGGTGCGCGAGTCCGATTATCACTTTGCCGTTTCTTTTACATCTATAATGTGGATCGCAAAAGTGGACATTGCCGATATTTTGGATTACATACACAAGTTATTGTTTACACTGTGAAAATCAATATGAAACAGCAAAAGGGTTATGAGAGTTATAACTTTATGATACCTAAACAAACTTTCTGCATTAATGGATCAAAAACTATGACCAGGAGTGCCATTTAGAAGATTTCAGTCGTAAGTGGCAAATACTCTTTAACATCTAATGATGAATTATGTAAATACAGATGGCGTTACAAATAAGTTTTAATTGTAAGGTCTTAAAGAGGTCAGCCGATTGCGTCAGCCAATTATGTCAGGGCGCTGACATCGTAGTATAGCAGGAAACTTGGCTGCTGCAGCATAAACTGCCGATACTGGGTGAAATAGATAGCGACTTTAATTTAACCGGTAAGTCAGCTGTAGATACGACTTGGAGTTTGCTGATGGGCAGCCCTTATGGAGGCGTTGCTATCTTATGGCATAAGAACCTATTTTCTGTCGTAACGGTAGTGTAGTGCAGTAGTAATCAGCTAATTGCAATAAAAGTTTCAAATGATAACAAATGTATGTTGATATTTTGTGTGTGGTACATGCCTACAGAGAAAATTTACCTGAATTTACAGAATGTATGAGTGAAAAGTGAAAGTATACAGAATGTACGGGGTGCTGGAGCGACACCTTTCTGAGCATGCTAGGTCGAATGACGCCCAGTTTGGGTTTAGAAAGGGCCTGTCCACAGATTGCGCTATATTAGGCGCTTTGCAGACGGCGGGGCGGAGCGGGCCGGTCAATTTCGCCGCGAACGATAGCACAAAGTGAATCCTTTACTACAAACGCACACAGAGGGCAAAAAGACCGCGCCGCAGGTGCCCGCCGTGGATCATACAAACCAGTTTATATGCAGTAACGCAGACGGCGGGGCGGGGCGGCTAGCTCAGTCCGCACTACGCGCTTTTTAGTGATGGGGTACCCAGTAGTGGGTGTACCCAGTATTCTCTATTACGGTTGCGTCTCTTCCTTTTTGAAGGCGCGTTATGAAAAAATGATGAGAGTGAAATTTTAAGATGCGCGCGCATCACTGTAACACAAAAATTAACATCATGCTGTTACTTTTGTGTTTACCGCACATTAAGAAAATCTACCAACAAAATAGAAATAGAATCTCTATTTAGTGGGTGCTAACGACTGCATTGTGAAGGCCTATCAAAAGTATTTATTAATCTGGAACAACGGAACCAAAGCGCGATTCAGGAGACTACAGCGCCATCTCTTGACCATTGGTGTAGTAGAACCAAAAACCACATCTTTATTTTTTGTAATAAAGTAACAGTTATAGGTATTCATATTTATAATATTTATCCACATGTTTCTAGTTTGTATATTCGGAATACGTGTTTGAGTTTCATACAAGTGCAAATCACATATGTTCTAATAAATTATATTCAGTAGCGATTTTAATTGAATATTTTGATTATTTATTTATTTTTTCAAATTAAAACTGAACTTTATTGACTGTGTCCTTTTCCAGACTTTTTATTAATTTATTGTAATTAATTATTTGCATGCAATTAAAAACTAATTTTAAACGATGCCAAAAAAGGATAACTTCTCACGGGCCTACATAAGTACACGCACCCATTTTTTTGTACATGAAATAAGCAACGATTCGAATTCTCTCTATCTCCATTTTCACTGACGTGCTATTCACTAGAACGAACGTCCTGAACTGACTGCCTCTGCCCGTCGTGTGCTTTGTGTACGCGGCGAGGGCAGCCGCAGACATCGACGGACAGACGCGGTTTTTATTGCTTCGCGGACAAAAAGCCCGCCCTGCCCTGTCGTCTGCAAAGCGCCTTAGCGTGAATGCACACTGTCAAGTATTATACTGATAGAAGAACACCGGTGCTGCTTTTTTGGACCTCTCCAAAGCTTTGATCTTGTTTCGTACAGCAAGATGTGGCATAAACTACAAGAAACAGGCCTTCCTGGTGAGTTGATCAATGTCTTCAAGTATTGGTACACGAATCAGACTAACTATGTTAGGTGGTCTGAGTCAATGTCAGAAGAATATAGACTGGAGTGTGGTGTGAGGCAGGGGGGCCTGACTAATAAATCAGCTGATTGATGAGTTGAACAGCACCAAAATCGGCTGCTCGATTGATGGTAACATTATCAATAATATTAGTTGCGCGGATGATATGGTGTTGTTGAGCCCCTAAATCAGTGCTTTGAAGAAATTACTCCAAATATGTGAATCGTTTGCCGAGTCTGATTTACAACGCTAATAAGAGTGAGATCTTGATAATATTTCGGGTGGATCGCAAAGTACACAGACACTCTAATTTTGTTGTGACACTTGAGGGTGTTGCTTTAAGACAGGTCACGCAGTTCAAGTATTAAGGATTAGGACATATTATCACTGAAGATCTTAGTGGATGTAGAGAGGGAGCGCAGGGCGTTGGCGGTACGATGCAATATGTTGGCACGAAGGTTTGCCCGATGTATTATATGTCAAATATAACAACTAGTAATAGTATCGCTAGTATGTGCAACATTTTCATTTCTTCTCGTGTCCAATTCATCTCATCATTGATATAACATTCTAAAGCTATCAGACTCTCTGAAAAAATAAACAGCATGTTAAAACTATTTTCAATTTTTGTAGTTACCAATCAATGTTGTAGTTTCATCGCCAGCATAGACTTTTCATTATTTCACTGCATTAGAAGATTGAATTACATCGCAAATAAATCAAATTAATAATTCAAATCGCACAATATTGTTAATAAGTGATTTGAAAAAAGATTCGCAAGCGTATGATTTCAAGATCAAGTCTCAAAGTACATATGTATACCATAATACTTCATTTGACGCGTAATGACAATATAATATCGCATGTTTAAGCAAAACATGCGATATTAACATAACTCGTAAACAAATAAACATTACACTTAAGCACTTACTTAAAAATAAATATCATCAACGGTATATAGTCAGTTTCGTATCTATGAGATGTTTTGTAATCTAAGAGAGTTGTCTTTTACTTTCTCTTTACTAACAGGTCCATAATTAAGTTCTTATACTAAGGTAATTTTTTACAGTCATAATAAAATTGTGTTGCGATTAGGTAGTGCCACCGTTCTGTCAAAGACCACGCTTATATGAGACGCGTCAACTGAGTTTGTATGAAAGTCCAACGTTAGAATCGTAGTTTACAGGCACAGCATATGCAAAACAAACATTATCAAGTGTCAGAAGTTTAATTGGAAGTATTTTTTAACAGGACAATATGTAATTTCACATGTTCTGATATTTTTTAAAAAAGTTATTATACAGCGATGGTCCGTGATAACTATATGATCTTCCGGCAAGTTTGTTTATTTGTTAGGCACTTTTATGTATAAAGTATGTAATAATAAATTTATTGATACATGCAGAGACATTAATAATATTGCGTAGAAATGCTGGTAAAAATATAAACAGTCTTGCAAAAACTTCTATGCGAGATCTTGCTAAGGACTTCCGAAGGTTACTTGTGGTGCAAAAATTTCAGAAGGTCTAAACAGACCACAGAATACTTGCTTAAGGCAAGAACTTGCAAGCTTGCACTAATGTAATAGTGCTTCAGCAAGTGCTTACTTAAGATATTGCAGGAAGAACTTGTTAGTCTAAACCTTGCTATGAACACAATAACAAAACATAAAAATTCGCAAAAGGCAATTGTATTGTATACAACACCAATGAACTGAATAGAATTGCAATAGCTGGTTATAAAATGGGTGATCAACATATTATTATCTCAATATCTTCCTGCTTCGGAAGGCACGTCTAGCCGTTGGTCTCAGATGCGTCTGCAGTCGTAAGGACCTGCCGCACTATCCGCACTGGGTCCCCGTGGTCAATCACGGCTCGATTTCCCTATTCCATTCATAGCTAAGGCTAAGGCAGCAGAGAGGACATTAATAGCCTGATTGTGAATCTCCATTGCCTTACTTGATTCTGTCTGTTCTTCGTAAAACGAATTGTATTCATTTGAATTACTAGGTCACCTCTAAGCTTACAAACCTATGAGTCACAAATACCGGTACATTGTTGTTATTGTATCATCACCAACATACCAATATATTTGTCCTTGTTCTTCTTGGCCTTCTTCCTCTCTTCTCTGAGCTTCTCGTCATCTTGGATGAAGTCTATGAGCTCGCGCACTTTGTGCCTTACATTAATACCCTGGAAGAATACTTTTATTTTATTATTGAGTAAGAGCTCATGGCATAGTTCGGACGGAGATCGTGGAAATTAAGCAACTTTCGCAGAGGTCAGCCATAGGATAGGTTACTAGAGTTTACCAAAAATATTGTGTTTAACTAAAAATTTACTGTCAAAACCCTTCTTCTGTGCTTCTAAAGGCACATCAAGAAGTTGTTGGCCTTGGCTACACCGTCAGGAGACAGCCAGCACCCACTAATATTTTTATTAGTACATTACGATACGCGTAAACGCCGTGCAGTAATAGACAACTTAGGCCACAAGTATCGTATACTATTTTATAGCAAGTGTGACATAAACCCGCCCCGGACGCGGGCAAGAGAGGGGGGTTCGGGGGGGCCGGAGGTCCCGCCCAGGGATGCGATTAGTGTTTTGAAAGTAAAATTCATGTATTGCAATCACAAAGAATTGCAATACAGACTGCAAGTGAAACTCTGAAAAGAAAGAATTCCGGTTCAGATTACCATTTTGAAAGTATATTTCAAAAGGAAAAAATCAAATATCATTACAACAAAATAGAATTTCAATGTATCCATGAACGATAATTCCTTGATTGGCATAGTAAAGTTAAGTTACGCGTATCGTAATGTACTAATTCTACATGAGTGAAGTTGGTCAATTCATTTACACACCATGCAGTAATAGGCAACTTAAGGTCACGGAAAAGCGTGCGTAAAGTGCGGGATTAGGTCACACTGTGCTATAAAAGTATTTTTATACAAATCGCAACAGCAAAATCTCTCATGATGTTAAGCATAAGTAAAGAACCTAAAGTCACAAAAATGCAGCTGATGTGACATAAACTGTGCTGTTCCAATCATTATCACTTAACTTTCTTGAAAATTTACATAATAAACAAAATAATTAAACGGATTAGTACACAAATAACTGGCAATACTAGTACTATCATGCGGCATGTCCGCTCAAACATAAAATTAATTTCCTGTGGCAATTTTAGAATTATTTAAATGTCAAATCATAGACAAAAAATATTTTACTTTGAAATAAAAAAAACTACAAACCTGATACCATAAGACAATCAAATATAACACTAATAATTAGGTAAAGCATTGCACAATTTATGAAAATTACAACATGAAAATGGTAACTTTTGCTATGCAAAAACAAAATACTTCCAGCATTAACTTAAGACTACAACATTTTAAAAATGCTATTCGCAAAAACAAGTTTGGATTACGAAAGAAATTCGCGATGCCATTGATACAAGGAACTTATACTACACACAAACAAAATCCAAATGACGTAAATGCTGATATTTTTAAAGAAAAGATAAAGCTTGATACCCATATAAAAAAAATCAAAATCGCAGTATTACAATAAAACTTTCATAAACTTCTAAAATGTTACTAATTAAATAATAATTACTCTTTTAACCTTTAACCAAAAATGTATAGTAAAGTACCATCAATTAAATAAGTTATATTAACAATGTGAATTACTTTTGAATATATCATTTTTAGTACAGACAGCTAGCATATTTCGTTAGTCAGTAGTAGTAGGTAGTTTTATAAAATGATAATGTTGTTTTTTTACTTGTAAGTGAATTGTTTTGTGGGAAATAAAGTCTTAAGACCTAAACCTAAACCAATCCCATACCCCGTGGAGTTCTAGAATCTTACAAACCCACAGAAACGCCACATTACGAAAAGATAGGTAGTGTGAAGGTCTTAGCCCACTTACATGACTCCACTCCCACCCAGCAAAAATAACATACATAATTCAAATATGGGCTTTAAATATTGCTTTTTAGGTATAGGTACTTTTCATTGGCAACATAAATTAGCAAACCGCCGTCAGACTGCTAGGTAATTGACGCCACGCTTGCAAGCGGTCTGGGCAATTACTGCAAGCAGCATGTCATTCTCGCATTATGTATCAATTCGCACGTCCGATCTCTTGCTCAGCGTTTTCGCAGGTATTGACGATATCCAGTATGAATAAAGAAAAACTTATCGCATAAGTACGAACATTTTACCTTATGTTCTACCATCAGTCTCTCATACATTATACAAAACAGCTAATTAGTACCAAAATAATGGACCCAAAACGGCAATGCAACAATCAGAAATACCAGATATTAACCACATTCTTCTATGCGATTTTGTCCATGAGGAAAGTCTGTGTACCAGCAGTGGAGACAGATTAATAGGCTGACGACGACGATGATCATTACCTGATCCTTGCCGATGTCGTCGACGTACGCGTAGTTCTCCAATGAGCGCAAATCGTAGATGTGCTCGCGAGCGGAGGTTACTACCCGCTCTGAACCATTCCTTACTAGGTAACTGAGCAAGAGTAGGCACTGAAACAATAATCACCATTGTACAAACTCATCATTATACATAGCTGTATTAAATGTATATGACTAATAGTACGAGAGCCCACGACCAAAATTTTTGTTTCATAGCAATACGGCCAAAACCGCATCAAATCGATAGATACGATTATCTTGAACTCGAAAATACCAATATCAGACATTTTCCGCGTAGCGTTTGATCTGACCGAATTTTCAAAATTGTCAAAGAATTTTACCGAACTGCATCATAGCAATATGTCTGATTTGCAGACTGTAGTTGAATGATAGTTCTGAGATACCGGAAACATATTTTTCAGACGTTAGTGGTGTAGCGCAAACCCGTAAAATCACATAAAAAAATTAAAAATGAGACAAAAAAAATGTCTCATAGCAATACGTCTGAAAATCTTTTTTATTAGTAAATTTTGGTTATTTGATGCGAACAAAACAATTTTCAGACGGAAATGTGAACGCATTAAATTTTGAGACCGTTTTGAAAATGTTAACAAATTTTACCGATCTGGTATCATAGCAATATGTCTGAAAATTGTTGGACATGATAAAATAAGTTGTCCACATGTGCAAAAAATTTATATCAGACAAATTAAGTGTAGCACCTTCTCTATCAGACAACTTTTCGATACTCAGATATCATTTAAAAATCGTATTGAGGCATCTTGAATTTTCTATTACAAACCAATCAGGAGCGTAACAAGCGCTGAGGCTGTTGAAATTAAATACTGATTGATTTGATAGTTTTGATTTTATTTAAAGCACGAAAGAAATAAGTAATGACATCTGTCATCTGTCAAAGTACATATAATAGACAAGGGAGATTCTTGAATATCTATGAAGGCTGTAAATTTAAAAAAACATTTAACAGAGGCGTCGGCCAGGCGACTCCGAAACGTTATTTTCGTTTTTGGGAGTATATGCTACACTTAAAGTGTCTGAAAACAGGTTTTTGGTAATCATGGCAAGAATACGAAAAGTTGAAAAAAAAATTATCCGTATTGCTATGATACAGGTCGGCTAAATTTGTTGACATTTTTAAAAATGCGCTCAGGCTATATGCTACGCGCAAAATGTCTGAAAACAAACTTTTTCGTAATACAATTATAAAATCGATGTACATTTTCACTATCAGACGTATTGCTATAATACCGACTGTCTTTTTTTTTTGACACAGCAGAAATGGCCTCCCACGCAGTTGCTACACTTTCGACCGTTACTACACACCTAGTCGGGTTCAGAATCATACAATCTAACGATTTTATAGGGTTTTTGCCGTATTGCTATGAGACATGGTTTTGGTCGTGGGCTCTCGTACTATAAAGTTGATGCTGTCACTAACTTTATGATTAATGAAGCATTATTTTTAGAGTGAATTAAAGTTTTTATTAACAGACTTCAAAAAAAGAATGTGCCCAATTTGACCTTTATGTATGTATGTTAAATTATTTATTTAGCACACCGACCTTGTAGGTGCGCCTCCAGTGCGAGCGGTTGTCGTGCAGCATCCGTCGCCACAGCATCGACATCACTTCTGGGAAGTGCTCGTACGTGAAGGTGGCCAGCGCCAGCTCCTGCATCTGCTGACCAGTGGGGCCCCACGCCTCGTCTGAGGTAGCCTCCCGGACTTTACCCTCCACCTCTGTGTAGTTCATAACTACGTTTGTACTGTAGGAGTAATAAAAACATTAATCATTAGCTATTCACATTGATTCATTGACAAGCTCCATTGTAGATTTCTCACATACCATATGTACACCTGTTAACAGGTTGTCACCTTAAAGTTAGAGGTCCTGTTTTTGAATTGAGATGAGGTGATAAAAATTTGCATTATAAATAGGATTTGTGGCTGTTTATATACAATATTTCTACAACAATACACTTGTTGAAGTTATACTTCTTTAGGCGCGTTATGAAAAAATGATGAGAGTGAAATTTTAAGATGCGCGCGCATCACTGTAACACAAAAATTAACTTCATGCGTTACTTTTGTGTTTACCGCACATTAAGAAAATCTACCAACAAAATAGAAATAGAATCTCTATTTAGTGGGTGCTAACGACTGCATTGTGAAGGCCTATCTAAAGTATTTATTAATCTGGAACAACGGAACCAAAGCGCGATTCAGGAGACTACAGCGCCATCTCTTGACCATTGGTGTAGTAGAACCAAAAACCACATCTTTATTTTTTGTAATAAAGTAACAGTTATAGGTATTCATATTTATAATATCAAAAGTATTTATTAATCTGGAACAACGGAACCAAAGCGCGATTCAGGAGACTACAGCGCCATCTCTTGACCATTGGTGTAGTAGAACCAAAACCACATCTTTATTTTTTGTAATAAAGTAACAGTTATAGGTATTCATATTTATAATATTTATCCACATGTTTCTAGTTTCTATATAGACACAACGTGTTTTAGTTACTTACAAGTGCTAATTACATATGGACTAATAACTTAAATTCAGTAGTGATTTTAATTGAATATTTTGAATATTTATTTAATTTTTCAAATTAAACTGAACTTAATTGACTGTGTTTACTATCCTTTTCCAGTCCTTTTAGTATTTTATTTAATTTAATTTTAAATTAATTTAATTATTAATTATTTGCATGCAATTAAAAATATTTTTAATGATGCTATTGAAGTATAACTTGTCACGTGCGTACATAAGTTACACGCATCCATTTTTTATCTATGTATTATTGTATGTATTTCTATCCATTAACCTAGTATCCCATAACCTTACAGTGCTTACTTTCGGGGTTTGGCTCATTAGTGTGAGCATTAGGATTTTTTGTAATAAGTCCTTAGAGCCTATGGTCACAGCTTGAAAGATCTCCACCTTTTTATCTTAGTTGCAAATAAATATTAATCAATAAGAATGGTTTAGATATAAAAAAGCGGCCAAGCAAGTCGGACTCGCCCATGAAGGGTTCCATAGAAGCAAGTAACTCAATATAAAAGTTCTTGTAGTTTGATGTAACTTTGATCGCTGTTTTTGTTATAATAGTGTATTCTTTTAAAATTAAGTTATTGATAAGTAAACATTATAATTAGGTACCTAAATGATGGGACAAAACTTTTATTAGGTTGACGTTTTATAGTAACTATTTACCTATAATTCTAGGCAGTAAATGAGTTTAAAAGCATAATTAGGATGTAAGTAATTGAAATTCATTTTATGTAACGCAAAAAGTATGAAATCGTAAACGTACAATATTTAGCATTCGCAAATTATTGAAAAATTTGTTCTGCGTGGACGAGTTTCAGTGACGTCTGCCTCGTGTCTCGTTCTGTCACGTGTCTGCACGCTCGGGTAAGGGCAGTCGGGAACCTGCCCCCCACGTGCTCCGCACCCGCTACCGATCAAACCACGCCCCGCGGGAATTATAATTATTATTTACTTGGCACCTATTACAGATTTATTTTATTATTAGAAAAATTATGGTTCCCTGTTTATGCATAAGGTTTATGTTTATGTTTTTTTTTAATTCTATTTAGGTATATTTGAGTTGATTGAATGAAAGGTAAATTGCGTTTTACGATTTAATTTTCATTGCAAAAAAACTACTAACTATATCTCGTTCAAACCAAATTTGGGTGGAAGTTTGCATGGTACATCATATATTTTTTTTTAGTTTTATCATTCTCTTATTTTAAAAGTTGCGCCCCCCCCCTCCCCCCGGCCCTATATTAGTAACCTCAATATCATTTTTGATGACAAAATATCCATTCCATAGATACGTGTGGGGACGTATGGATTCGATGAAATAAAATGTTTGAGTTTCAGTTCTAAGTATGGGGAACCCCCACCCAATATTTATTGTTTTTTTCTATTTTTGTGTGAAAATCTTATTGCGGTTCACAGAATACATTTACTTAACAAATTTCAACAGTATAGTTCTTATAGTTTCGGAAAAAAGTGGCTGTGACATACGGACGGACAGACAGACAAACAGACATGACGAATCCATAAGGGTGCCGTTTTTTGCCATTTGGCTACGGAACCCTAAAAACAAGCAGTTGAAATAAAAATTAATAAAATGTAAGGAATCACAGTCATTTGTTGAATATTTATTTAAATCCTATATTGCCTTCACAAGGTTAATATGTTTTGGTACAGGAAATATCATTGTTTATTACAACAATAAATCTTAATGTTGTAAACTAACAGAATATATTTTCCCATTAATATCTAAGTATAAGTCTTATTATTGTAATTTGTAGATCATTGTGTTGTTCAATTGTATTTGATATTTTCAATCAGATTGATATTCCTTACATGAATAATAGGGATAAACGAGCTTCGAAAGTACAATAAATTTATTTCCATACTATAATAATATTGTTAATGGAGAACTCTGTCTGATTCTTCTACAGCATAAATGTAGATACAATTTTGGTGAATTTTTAGAAATAATATAAATAAAATCAAATTAAATACAATGCATTTTTTTATCAGGTTTATGAAAGGTTTAAATAGATGATAAATGATTGTATGATATGAAATCAATTGCTAGGGGCAGAAAAAATCCTGGCCTTTCACACTACAATATAGTAATACTGTAGACATCACAGTCTAAATATCACTATCAAATTAACTATGCCATATTTGACATTGGTTTTTAGTTGTAAAACTAAAAAAGTGAAAGCCAATTTACCTAATATGTGAAACCAGTTCTGCAAACATTTACATAGAACAACCTTGATGAGTTGCGCCATTTATACAATTTAATGTAATAGTTTTTACATTTTACAATTAAAAACAAATAACTATAAAATTATTCCACTAAATTATTTTAATAGTATTAGTTAACCCATATTGTTAAACTTTGCTTCCTTGAAATATTTATTTAAAAGTTAGTAACTGTGTTTAAGAAGATCTTCTCAGAGTCTAAATTCCTAAGATTTGTAACCTTGATATCTTTAAATATGGCAGGTATTAATTGATAACAGACAAAGTTAAATCAATGTATCTCAAAGTTGCTATTAACAAGTTGCTGAATATTTTTTCCTAAAACATATCAACACACCTAGTTACCAGGCTGGAATGAAACCAGCATCCTTTCCAAACTGGCAAAGAAACTGACCATTATACTACTGGGGCTTAGCAATTATGAAAGAATGGCATTTCTTCAAGTATTAACCATAAATATAAAGCATAGCATATAAATATATGCTTTAATAAAATATTATAAGATGTTGCTGGTACAAAGCTAGTATGATACGAAGTTTATCACAGCAGTACCAGCAATGGCTGTTTTTAAAAAAAAATTGATCAACTCCTATTCAAAAAATATTAGCTATGAATTTTGGTATAAAAACAGTGTCATGAATCTATATAGGACTATGATAGTGCTATATAGCTTCCGTACTATTGTATAGCTGCATGCAAGGATGATAAATTATATATATATCAACAGTTGAAAGGCAAAATGGCATATACTGGAAAATGTGTTATATATATCATTTTAATCAGTTTTTTTTCTGTATCCATTAGTTTATGTTTCGTGAAGATTTGAGTAATTTTTGGTACTTAAACAACTCAATATTTTGGAGATTTTTATTGTTCACTACTCAGAAGCAACATAAATTTTGGTATTTTTTAAAATAATGGTGCTTTCACCTATCTTTTTGGCGTATGATTTGATGTTTGCTTGACAAAAAATGTATGGTGCTCCGAGTGATTTTCACTTAAGTGACATCTAATTCATGAAGTAAAGGCACTAAGTACCTTTTTAATAGGAGGATAATTATAAAATATTATTTTATGGAAACATTTTTATTTATATGTTGTTACTTCTCATTTACAATGAGTTATATTGTTTTTGGGAAAACAAAACTTTGTTTGTTGTTTATGTAAAATTACTAAAGTGACATTTAAGCAATTTTTCTTTTCCACTGTCGATATATATATTTGCACAAATGTGTTAAAGGCTGTGACATTGAAATGTAGTGATATAATATATGCTAGACAGTTGACAATCATAATATAGTGTAGGTAGGTAATAGAGCAAACATTTAACTCAGCAATTGGCAATTGCATTCCATGAAATTTTAACTTTAAATTGATTATTGATACATAATATCAATTACATATTTATATTTCATAAACTCTATCCAGTGGTTGGTTAGTGGCTTGAACAATAAAGTTAAAGATTACTTGCATATCAAAGTAGCCATCAACTTTATACACTCGTGAATCCATTTTACTGATGAAAAGGTACAACTTTACTTTTAAGGGTTGGGTGTCCTCTTCATAATTTCTTGTAAAAAAAGGTCTCTGTATGTGGCGCTACGGCGGCCGTTACCGCGGCCCGCTAGCTTATTTATTTAATTTAGCGGCTTTTGCACAGAGTACGTCAGTCGCTCGCTCGGCTCTCGGGTCATGGACAAAACACTAACCTAACCTAGTATGAAGTGTAAACTCCTGGACCCAAAAGGTACAGTATAGGCGAATTTTATTACACCTATATTCTTCTAGCATGTATTGAAATTTGGGGGTATCTATGAAAGCTTGTTTCAGTAACAAATATTGCCATTGTCGATTACGATTTGATAGATTAATATTAGCTAAGACCGGTCCATAGTTAATCTTTTAACGGATTACGAAGTGATAACGACTGTTACGACAAAATCATCTATTTCCAAACGTGACGAGAAGCTTTTTTGATGGTTATCCGATCAAAAAGATGTTATAGTATTACTTTACAACATTGAATAGCTTAAAATGTAACCATGAAATAGGTGAATGTCTACAAATTAGTTTTTTTTTTACTCCAGATGGTAGTAATTTGCATTTTACAAAAAGAAGCTAATACGAGTGCACTCACACTTTGTCCGCCAACTCCCTCACTTTCCACATGCTTATAAAACGGTCCATTTTTGTTTTTAATAGATAAAACGATATTTTAGAACAAAATTACGGTGTTTTCACGTAAAATAACATAAAATTTTAACATAAACTGAGAGCTGATGATTTGGCTGACATTCTTGGAAAATGGCGACAGAAACAGTGTTGCAAGGAAAAAACTTTTATTACCTTTAAATAATGCATGCAGTTTTACCAACTCTCAGAAAGTATATCCCTAAAGATAATGTCAACTCCAGAGGCCTTAGGTTCAAAACCTAGCATGCAAATTGCTTTTAGACCAAATAATTTTTCATTTTAATTTATTATTGACATCTAAGAACTTCAACTTAAACTATAATGCCGTCGCTTGTAACCTGTCACATATGCAAGAACAAAGTCGAAGCCAGACAAACAATTCTTTGTTCAAAATGCAAAAAAGCTTATGAATTTGATTGTATTGGGTACTCAAAGAAGCTACATTTATTAAAAGACCAAAAAACAAAAAAGAGTTGGAAATGCAAAACGTGCGAAGACAAACCAAAGATATTAGGAACACCTAACACTGACCCTTCTTTTGTCACAACCCGGAAAAAGCATACTATTAACGCACCACAAACAAGTAAAAAAACATCACCTGCCGCTGAGCTCATTGAGCAGATATCTCCGGGTAACATATCATGTCAATCTGAAGACTTGCATTTAAACACCCAAAATGACATGTCATCAGAGGGATCTCCTTCAGCATCAGATCAAATTTTATTAAGAAGTTTGGACTATGGATTAACAGACACAATTTCAGTTCACGAAATCAAAGAAAATATGATTCGTCTACAATCGGAATTGGAGAGCACTCAAAAAGAATTAGAAAACTATATTCTAGAAAATAACAATATTCGTAGAGAAAATTCTAAGCTTATTCAGGAAAATAGCTTTTTGAAAACCCTTTGTCAGTCTCCGATTAGCGAATCTCGTATTTTACGAAGTACTAAGAAAAAAAATAAGCCATCTACACATTATAATATAATATCTTCGCCATATAGTTCACCCATACCAAAGCAATATAAGTGTTTAAATGAGAACACTGATTGTAGCATTTTATACCATCAAAGGCAAATTACCGAGTTACAAGAGAAGTTAGAGGACTCTGAAAAACAAATTATGTCTCTTACCAAACAAATATTTAAACTTCAAAAAATGCTCCAAGATATCAATACACTCGATAAACAAGTCCCTGCCAACATTACGATGACTCATCTACATGCAGACACTTCTGTACTTGTCGATACCATTTCTGAGCCCGTCCCAAAAAAAAGCATTAAAAAGAGGGTATTTATATATGGATCACAACAGTGCGTTGGGTTAGCATCTACTTTAGCGCGATCGAGGGAAAATACAGCATACGAAGACTATTCAATAATGTCATTTACAAAACCCCACGCACTTACAGCAGATATCCTAAAAGACTCTCAGAACCTATGTTTATCACCCAACGACAAACTTATAGTATGTATTGGAGAAAATGATTATGACATTAATATACTGGAATATCAATTACGTCAATTATTAATTAATTTTAAGAATAATGACATCTTTGTAATAAATGTAATTAAAAATAGATATCTTAATGTATATGCCATAAACAAATGTATTCAAAATATTTGTAATGACTTTGAGATGTCTCATTTTGTAACTTCTGACAATGATTCAATTTTCGACATGTGTAAATCTCTTAATTTTGCTATCGACACTATTGACTATAGAAAAAAGTATCTTGGTGTACACCAAATAAAAAAGTTAATCGAGCGTGGTAATAATCCAATGACACACAATAATATTACGAGAAAAAATAAAAAAGGTACAATCCCTTACTATTTTGCTACCCTGTCTACGCGGGATTTTACCGAAAAGACTGATATTAGGAAAAAAGGTACAATCACTGATTACTTTCCCGTAATTAAAAACCGACAGTTTTTTCGTTCCCCAAAAGTCTGAAGTGAAGGAGCCTTTATTTAAAATTTTGCACCAAAATATAGCTAGTATTCTCTCTAAGAAAAATCTTTTAGAACTTGCATTAGACGAACTATATGAAACAAATCATGAACCCGACATAATGTGTTTTTCTGAAACTTTTTTAAAACCTGACTCTCTTAGATACTTGAAAATCGCAGATTACGAACTTGCATCAGAGTTCTGCAGGAATAAACAAAGGGGTGGAACTTGTATATTAGTAAAAAGAGGATTACCTTATGAAAAATTAAATATTCTACAAGACCACGCAATTCAAAAAACTTTTGAAGCTTGTGGTATTTTCATGCCACTTCAAAATTTGATAACAATATGCCTGTACAGAATACCTGCTTCCGATCCTTACCTCTTCATGTCAAAATTAGACCTGGTTCTACACGAAATATGTAGACGTTATAAAAAAAATACAAAAATTGTTGTTGCAGGTGACATAAATATCAACACATTACAACCAGGCAAAGTCAACAATTATTTAAAAGATTTGTGTAACAACTACAACTTAACTTTACATATTAACACCCCCACGCGGAAAGAATCTTGCATCGATCATATTTTTAGTAATATAAAAAATGCAACATCTGTGGTTTTACCTCTTTGCTTATCAGACCATGATACAGCTCAACTACTCAGCTTTCCCATGAAACAAATACATATAAAACCTAAATCTTATTTTGTTTACAAACGAGATTACTGTATTGAAAACATTGAAAAATTTAGGGAATGTTTAACTAAACTATCGTGGTCCGAAGTTTATAATGAACCTGACTTCAATACAGCTTTCGGAATCTTTCATGACTTATTGAGCCTTTTTTACAACTTATGTTTTCCAAATATAAGAAAAAAAATCAATAACGTGAAAAGGAAAAAACAAAAATGGATAAGCCCTGGTCTTAAAATTAGTTGTAAAACAAAAAGACACCTGCGCTTCGGATATTACAAAAGCAAAACATTTGAAAACAAAAACAAATACTTATCATATACTAATATTTTAAATAAATGCATACATTATTCGCGAAAAAATACTACTATGAAATTCATAAATCAGAGCAAAAATAAATGTAAGGCTACATGGTCAGTAATCCAAAATGAAATTATTAATACTAAAATTGATGACAATATTACTAATCTAAAAATTTATAATAAAACACTGACATATCCAAATGACATAGCTACTGCTTTTAATGACTACTTCATAAATTTGACTGAATCGCCATCAATAAACTTAACTAAAGATAACCAAAAATTGCCATCACTAGCCAATTCAATGTATTTACAACCAATGACCATTGAAGAAGTAAAAAAGGAAATCATGTGTTTAAATAATACCAACGCTGAAGGATATGATAATATTTGTACAAAGATATTAAAGATGTGCACTACAGAACTAACACAGGTCCTTACACACCTGGTTAATACATCGTTTATATCAGGAACGTTTCCTGATAAACTAAAAATCTCTTTAGTCAAACCATTACATAAGAAAGGGGACAGAGAGAATCCGGATAACTATCGTCCTATTACGTTAATACCGATCCTTTCAAAAGTCTTCGAAAAATGCATGCTAAACCGGCTCATGAGTTTTTGTTTGAAATACAAAATCATAACAAAAGAGCAATATGGGTTTCAAAAAGCAAAATCTACATCGCTGGCAATGTTTGATCTTATGTCAACAATATTGACAAATCTAAATAATAGATATTTAACAACGGGGTTATTTTTTGACTTGTCAAAGGCCTTCGATTGTGTTGCTCACCCGAGACTATTAAAAAAACTAGAATCCTACGGTATCCGAGGACCCACCTTATCATGGTTAGCATCCTATCTAAGCGGTAGGCGCCAAAAAGTTATTTTTAGCAAAGTAACACAAAATGAAATGAAATCGTTCTCATCTGGTTTTAGGGAAATTCGGTGTGGCGTTCCACAAGGGAGCGTTCTAGGACCAATTTTATTTCTATTATACATCAATGACATAACACAGGTGACTCGACATAAATGTGTTTTATATGCCGATGACATATCAATAATTGTAACATCAAATAACATTAAAAACAATGACTCGTTACGAACACATTCATCTGACATTAATAATACTATTGACATGATCATTAAATGGCTTAATGCAAATAATCTTAAAATTAATATTAATAAATCCTATTATATACAATTTAATCAATCTAAACATAAAAAATATAAGTTTACATTAGACGTAGCAAAAATCAAAGAAGTAGAAAGTTTAAAATTCCTAGGTGTAAAAATTGACAAAGATACAAACTGGAAAACCCATATAGATATGTTAAGTCATAAAATAAATAAATTTGTGTATGCTCTGAAAAGCATAAAAAACCTAACCAATAAAAAAACCGCTGTTATGTGTTATCGTGCATACATTGAATCTATCCTTCGGTACGGAATTATACTCTGGGGTAATAGCACGGATAAGAATAGAGCCTTTATTGCACAAAAGAAGTGCATTAGGGCAATATGTGGAATCCCGCCAGACCAATCATGTAGACCATTATTTAAAAGTCTTGGATTGTTGCCGCTGCCATCGCTGTACATATATGAATTAGCAGTGTTTGTCCACGGGCACAAGCAGTTGTTCAAGAGGGTTAATAATTTCCGGCTTAGAGACCCTTACAGAATGATATTTAATGAGGTCCCAAGGTCTGACAAATATAGGAAAAGTTGCTTATGCCTTTGTGTCGAGATCTATAATAAAATCCCTCCCGACATAAAAATACTGAATATGAACATGTTTAAAAATAAATTATATAAATGGCTAAATGAAAACAATTTTTATGACCTAAAAAGTTTTTTCAATTATAAAAATTAATGACATGTTTTAATTTATCCTATAATAATTATGATAAATGTATCTTTTTAATTTTTTATTTTTTTTTTATATCTGACATTTAGAAATCTTGTAATATTAATATGTTGACATTGTATATTTTATTGACATAATATTAGGTAACTCTGACATTCATAATTCTACAGAAAAATGTTATAATTAATTAATCTCTTTTTTTTATTGGTTCCATATTATGTATTTGCATGCTATTTTTAAAATGGCAAAACACGTGCTCAAACCGTTGTGTAATACCTATATACCGTGTTTTTAGCAAATAAA